GTGAACTATTAATTTGGTTTCAAAATTAAAATACATGCTCATTCTTTGAAATCTGGATTTTTTATCTATCTATCTATCTAGATAGAGAGATAGATAGCAAACCGACAGAGATATCAAACTGACCAAGATAGATAGATTTTGATTGGTATATAGATGGTGGCCTCTTTCTGCAGACAATGGCAAATATAAACTGATTCTCTTAAAACTGTGAGACAATTCTTTTAGAAAAACATATGTCTATGTATATTTTCACTCACACATTCAAGCCACGTATGTGATGCAGAGTATTTTGAATGAATGCCAAAAAACATATACATATATATTATATATATATATATATATATATATATATATATATACAGGTTCAATGCAAATGAATAAAAATTTTTCTACCATTCATAACATTTAATTTAAAGTAGGGCCCATTACAAAGTAGAGCAATATTATTTATTTTAGGATATTACAACAAAAACATATAAAGATCGCTACACAATTGCAGTCATGTTTCAGCACATAACTCAGGCGATTATATTAAAAAAGAGTGAAATAATGTTTGGTGAGGCATTAACGAAAATACATGTCGTTGCACTTTGAAACTGGTTAACAAAAATAAATTGTGAAAACATAAATAAGTATAAGTACTTCTTAAAGCCACATGTTGTAATTGGTCAATATAAATTATGCAATAGTCTTATGATTTACAGCATATATATATATATATATATATATATATATACATACATATATATATATATATGTGTGTGTGTGTGTCTGTATTATTATTAAAATAAAAGTAAAAATATTTAATAATTATCAAAAGTCAGTTCAGAGATTTGTCATTTTTGAATCACTCATTTTCACAGTGGAGTAATGGATAGCAGCTCCGATTGAGGAATCGGAGAACCGAGTTCGAATTCCAGTTGAATCTATTACATTCTCTTACATGCTAATACTCTTGGGAAAGGTATCAATTCCATTCTTCTCTTTCCCCCCCAGCTATGGGTAAATAGCAGGACAGACCGGGTTCTATAGCCTTGGATGGCAACTGGTCTACCACAGAAAGAAATGGCAACCTACTGCAGGAAAAAATCTGCCACGTCAGTCATGTATTGAAAGATACATGGTCACCCATGTGTGCATCACTCATGGCACATAACTGACTGACTTGCATTTTCACTCTTGAGAAGAGTCTTCAAGATTCCTGGCATGTGATTCATAAATTATTTATATTATTTTAGTTTCAGATTAATTTATGTATTATATATTTTAAATAATAGAAGTATTTGAATAAAATAATTTTTAAAGGAAATGTTTTCCAAACGCATTATTATTTCAAGTATATAAAACATATATTAATCTCAAACTTAAATAATATAATAATTAGCTTATCCAGGTGTAAAAGAAATGAAGAATAAAATTCAAAACATTCAAGACATTAATTTAAAACAGGGCTCAATACAAGAGTAGATCATCCTGAGTATGACAATAAACTAAATCCACGTCCTGAGTAAGACTATAAACTACGTCCAACAGCAAGGCCTCTGATCAGGAGGTTTTGAGGAGCGTGGAACCTCCTCTTAATTGCTGGTGTCCCCAGGTCCACCCTGACCCGGGATGGTAGCAACTGTTAGGGTCCCAGCTATGGGCAAATAGTTAACACCCGAACTTGTGTAAAAATAGGTTTTAATACCAGAAATACTTTGTAATAATAAAAAAAATTATTACCAACAATACTTTTAAAAAAAAATACCAGCAATACAAACAGTTATACATTCTTTGAAAAAAAATATGACCAGCTACTGATTTCTTCAAGGAAAAATATTCCCAGAAATAGATTTTTGAAGAAAAACATATTACCAGCAATAAAAATTTTGTCAGTATTAAATAACCCATTGAAGTTGATATACCGTAAAACAAAACAAATCAAATACAAGAGCAGAGCAATAAATATTTATTATACATTGTTACATTAGAACATGTAAGTTATTACGACAAAATTGTACATTTTTTTTGACATTTAATAAATGTCTCATCAGTTAACAATGATGGTAAATTGTAGTCGTGTTTCATCACATAACACACATTAACTACCTGATGAAATGCTGTTTATTAAACGTCGAAACAAAATGTACAGTTTTGTAGTAGTAACTTACATGTACCAATGTAACAGTCTATGATAAATAATAATTAACTGATATAAAAAATATTCAACAATAACATTTACTCACTATTAGATATTGAATCATATCACTTAGTTTGATATACATTTGGGAGCATTCTTTAATTTAAAAATTCTAAAAAAAAACAAAAAAAAACTAACATTTTTACTTTTGTTTGTAAATATGTGTTGCATAATAAAATCCTTACATTTGCCTTGAGAAAGTTCATCAACAGATGAAATGTGTTGGGTAAGATAAGTTTGCTTTTTCCCCTTTTTTGCCTCATTTTGCCCCAAACAAGGCAATAAAGCCACTAAAACACAAGAGGTTTGAGTGTGAGAGAATATGAGAAAAAAAGATACATCATTAAGGAGAGAGAGAACAATAAAAGAAGAGGAATTAACAAGACAGAAGATAACGATTGACATTGCATTTAAATTTTTAAATTTTTTTTTGGCTAGAAAGCAGAAAGTTGCACAAGTGAGGAGTACTACAGAAGAAACTGTTAGCAGAGAGCTTGCGGTTATATCTAGCCATTTCAATTGTAAAATGATGAGACCTAATTGCCAATTTAGTACTGCGCTTAGATTCATAAAGTCTTGGTACCATAGTGGAAAGTTCATCAGAATAATTACCATGAAAGTATTTATAGAAAAGGCTCTGGCTATGTTATAGAGGTGGGGAAAATGACTGGAGCCAAGATGCCAGGTAAGGACCAATAACATTGCAGATTTTTTAATATTTTATCAAGAATCTCTAAATAAATAGCAGAATTACTCGAAAAGATGTTGCAGCAATATTCAATGCATGGATGAATGGCAAACTTATAAAGGTGTATGATAGATTCTGGCAAGAAAAATTGTCTAGTATGATACAGTAAACCAACTTTCCTAGCAGTAGAACTAGCAACTGATTCAATATAATCACTCCACTTCATTTCACTTTGCATTTATTTACACACATACACACACATACTACCAACTTATAATCAAAAGAGGGTAGTTCATATATGATAGCCTAATGTGATTAAAAACATGAACATGGTCATCTAATTACTTGTTGCCAAAAGCTGATGCTAGTTTGGTTAGAAAATACATCCAAGATGCTGCTGAAAAATTCTCAGCATTACCAAGAAATCCTTCTCCCTGAATAAACCTGATTTTTATTCAAATATGTAAATAAAAAGACAAGAGGAAAAACTATTCTTGGTTTATGCATTTCATAATCTGAGGGATATTATCAAGGCAAAAGAGAACAAAATGTGTCGGCTAAGAATGATTTTTTCCTCTTGTTTTTCATTCATTTTGTTCTTTCACAGATATACTCTCTCTGAAAATAATTTATACACACATACAAACACATTATATATATATATATATATATATATATATATATATATATATATATATATATATATATGGGGATAGTAGTCAAGGGGATAGTAGTCGTGGCTTGTGGGGGGGGCACAGTCCTATGGGTAAAGGAACTCAGATGAGTTCCACCATGGAATATGTGAGTGAGCGGCGCTATATCGAGTCTGGTTTGATACTTCTTTGTCACTGTGGCCCGTTGGAACAGTTGGTATGGCGTTTGCATGATAACCTAACTGTCAGGGTTTCAATTCTCGGTAGTGGATGCGCACTGCTGGTGAGTCCCAAATATAGGACGAAACGGCTGTCCAGTGCTTTCTGTATTCTGTTGAGGTTTCTTCTAGACTCGATGAATTACTTAATTATAATTATCAAATCCTCCTAATAATTTCTATCACACATATTTTATATATTATATATATATATATATATATATATATATATATATAATATTATTATAAATTAATTTAAAATGTTTTTTTTACATTTACAGTTCTAACCATGTTTCAAAAATTTAATGGAAAAAACATAAAAATTTTTTTTTTTAATTAAATTAAAGAAATTAGTTCCATAAAAAAGAAGTAATTTTAAAAGTTACTCCAAAATTCGCTTTTGAGGATGAAATGGAACTAATGTCTTTAATTTAATTACAAAATTAAATTCATAGAATTTTTCCTTTTTTTTCTTTTATTAGAACTGTGTATTAAAAAAAATATTTTTAAATCAATTAATTTATAATATTAATGTCTGTAAATTTACATTGAGCACTATTTTTTAAAAAATAAAATATCTATAAGAACACCGGATTATATATCTTACTGTTCTTTCTTTATATATATATATATATATATAATCAGAAACACCAAAACTCAAGCTACCACTCTACCTAGGTTTCAACCAGTAGGTCTCCTCAGGCAGGTTGAATAAAAGATTTTAGTTGATTCCACCACCATTATATATAAACACCAAAAGTTGGGAGCAAAAGATGGAGAAGGGAAAAGGTGGAGGGGTTAAAAAAAAACTATTTTCATCCATGTTCATACATACACAATAAATATTTAATAAGGTGTCTGCATTTGGATAATACCTCCGATATTCTATTTAGCAGTTTGTCCTTGTTTGGGTATGTGGCAATCTTCAGCTTTTCTTCTTGGCATAATTTACAGTAACTTCCTTGGACTCTGCCCAGCTTCACTTTTTTGATGATCTTCCTTATTATGTGTGGAACTCTATCATTAACTTCCTCAACATCCAAACACAATTTACCAGTTTTGTGTCATTTCTATGGCTCTCGAGCCTAAAAGAGGTAGTGTGATTATAATATCTACTCTTAAATGGGCTCTCTGTACAACCAATATGTTTTATTAAAATTGTTGAAGTCACTGACCTCCGCTGAATAAACAACACCCTGTGAACTCGGCTCTCCAATTAACAATTCCAAGTCGTTATCCATTATGCCACTTCTAAGCTCACTGCACATGGTATTCCAAAGCAGTCACCCATCTAGATACAAACCTGGCTCAACATTGCTTAACTTCAATGATCATATGGAAACTGGTAGTTTCAACATAATATGGCCGTAAGCTTAATGTATGTATTTATGTAATCTATGCACATATTGCATTTAAGTTGCAATGGAAGTGCACATTTATTGAATGTTGACCTTAACTGGTAGAAGGAACCACCATACCATCTTATTTCATTCACTTACTTCCTCAGTGAAATAGTAACAGATTCCTCTTGACAGAGAGAACCATGATAACTTCCAGTTTCATTCAATACAATGACCATTATCAAATTCAAAAACAAGTGTTGAATGTAGTCAAAAGAACATTAAAAGAAAAAACAAAAAACTAAAAGAAATTATAATGTTCTTTGCCTGACTTTGTAGCCAAGAATAAGCAAATTTATTAATAAAGAAAAATGACCAAATTATGTTGGGAGAAAATTCACTGGCTACTAAGTTAAGACTACTCAATAAGTGCACTGAATAGCAATTCACTTTTTTTACTGCCATGAAGACAAAAGGCCCAGTTGCACACAGCTCGGCTGAACGCATACTGTGTGATTATTTTTACCTCACCTTATTTAAACTCAATTTGAATACAACAATATCGTTCTTTTTCTACTTGACAAAATAACACAGCTACTTCCAACATAAATTTGACCATTGTGCCAAATACGTCCGACAATAACTTCTCATCAATAAATCAAATGACTGCCGACTGCTGTTTAAGCAATATTGAATATAAGTAAGCAGGTGAGAGAAAAGTTGGCTACCATACCATTATAAAGGCAAGTAGGAATTCTTTGTTAAATCAGAGGCCATCATTTGGAGGCTGTTTAATTTGAAGAGTTGTTAATAATTACTCCATAGCAGGCACTTGGGTATTTACTTCTTTTTTATGTTGACTGATTGATTCATTTTTAATGGTTTATCAACCCTTTGTGGGTTTATACTATTTACATAGTTCGGATTATTGTCCACATCTTTATTGCCATATTTATGACATTTCGACCATTGTATACTCTGGCCTTCTTCAGGTGATATACATTGGAATTTCAAACCCTTTATTTCGTCTACCAGGATAGATTGTATTTTATGGATTATTTAAAGAGAGGAAGTATTTTTTTGCGGGCCATGGGAGATAATAACAGATTAATATATATGGGGAAAAGAGATGGATTCGTACATTTCCCAATGGTATTTGCTCATAAACAAATATAACAGACACGTAAAAAATTGAAATCGGCTTTTCAATAAACAATTCAGAGTCATTATCCATTACACTACCCACACTTACAGCATCTGGTATTCCCAAGCCTCCACCCATCTCGGTACTGACAAGGCTTGACATTGCTTAACATCCATGATTGCACAGGAACAAGTCTTCTTTATGTTCCATACCCCTTCAGGACATTGGCAATCAAGGATCCCTGCAATTTTTTGTGCTTCATAGATCTTAATAAATTTTCTCCTTTGCGTATTTCTGCTAAACCTTGTTCTGCTATCCATTTACTAAAGCTCAGTAACTATGTTATTCTTTGTTTTCCTCTGTCTTTCTTTGCCTTCAATTTGTCCTCTGAGTATCAGATTTTCTAAGCCCTCTTTCCTCATTATGTTCCCTTGAAGTTTCAACTATCTCTTTCTGATGCTAAGTATAACTTTCCTTTTTGTTTCTCTAAAACTTCATTGTTGCTAACATATTTGGCTCATAGTATCCTCAGTATCCTTCTGTAGAACCACATTTTTGTTGCATCATATCTCTTCCCAATCTGAGCCATTATCCATTACACAAGCTGCACATCCAAGCTCACAGCACCTGGTATTCACAGGCTATCACTTATCTAGGTACTGGACAGGCTTGACATTGCTTAACTTTGAGCACCAATATTTAAATGTGATATGGTCATAACAAGAAGGCTCAACTAATTTCTTCAGAAGATGATTTAATAAGTTTGAGTTCAAAAGAAGCCAATTTATTTTTTCTTCATCCCCAAGCAAGGCAATAAAGCCACTGAGACACAAGAGGTTAGTGAGAGTGAAAGAAAGGACAATAAAAAAAACAGGATTCAAAAATACAGAACATGGTGACTGACATTACATTTAAATTTTTGATGATCATAGTTGACAGGAAAGCAAGAAGAGAGTTCCAGAGGGAAGAAGTGCAAGAGAAGAAACTATTAACATAGAACTTACAGTTACATCTAGTGGCTATTTCAATAGTGAAATCATGAGACCTAGCAGTCAATCTAATACTTTACTTAAATTCAATTTCATGGTTTTTCATTAGAGAAAAAAAGTCTCACCCATTTAAATTACCATAAAAATAGTGATATAAAAAACCACAGGTATAATTTTTTAAAAAATAAATTTATGTTAACCCCTTTCCATTCAAACACACTATATATATATATGTGTGTGTGTGTTTTCAATTTATATTTTTGCATTTGAAAAATTATTTTGATATATATATATATATATATATATATATATATATATGTGTGTGTGTGTAGGTGTATATATTTCAGGTGCTATAGGTATGTTTAATGCATTTTATATTTTTTAATTTCAAATATGCGCATTGTTTGCTTTTGATAAACAATATACTAAAGAAATTTCAAACTATGTTTGAAAAAAAAATTTTTATGGCAAATTCATTTTTTAAAAATTTGAAATACCATGCTGTACTGCTTGGTATTCATACCAGAAGCTCTAATACAAACCTTTCAGAGTTTTTAAATGTCAATCTGAGTATATTGCAGAACATTTGGAAAGAGTAGGATGAGTTTAATGGTGATTCCAAAGGTATGGCAGCTCAGAAAACTCATTCTGATTGTACTGATGAGAAAAGAAGTCCCAAATTTGTTGGTGAGAGCCTCAGAATAAATGCCTAGGCCTACATTAAGTGTCTTGAGGAAGTAGTGCTGCCCTGGGTCAAGAGTTTTGCTGCTGAAAGACCATATGCCTGGCAACAGGACTCTTCACCATGTCACACAAGCAGGAGAACCCAGTCATGGATGTTAATATCTGCAACCACAACACCTCTTACATCTGGCCACCTAACTCTCCAGACTGCAACACCTTTAATTATTGTGTGTATGGTCCAGAATGCCACTGACCAACAAAACTGTTTGCAACAATAAACCAATAACTCTGTTAGGAAAAAATTATGGAACATTCAAAACTTAAACTAGGAGACTATCCAGAAAATAGTTGTATGAGATTCCAAAAGCCATCTGGATCAATTTGATGGTTGAAACAATGGCAATTTTATTTAATTAAATTTACTTTTTAACATTTCAAGATATTTTGTGTAATCTTGGGAAATCTATCTGTTAAAATGAGATGTCAGTGTTATTTTCATTTTTGTGTAATTTAGATGACAATTTTTATCCATTACACCCTGTTCATATATCTTTGATTCAACACTGAATTTCAGCTGTTTAGTACTTTGAAAAATAGTTGTGTCTATAACATGCAACTTATGGCTATCAATTCAAGATGCAAAAAATCTGGCATTGTTTTGATTATCCATACATTTCATTTGCAACCAGATGCTTTTACTTCCACAGAGACACATGTATAATTTGAGAGATTTCATTAAGTTTCTAATGTAATAATTTTCATTTTATCTGAATGAATAACTGAATATTTTAACCATTGCCTCTCACTTTAAAAAGAAAAAAATGTCTTCATTGTGACTAAAACTCACTGACTTGACATATATTTTTAGCCCTCGTGCCAGAGTCACCAAAGATTAGCAATTCATAAATAAGCGATCCTGTCATGGAGCTGTCTTTATAAAAAGGACTTGTATTGCAAACAATTGTTACTATGGTAAGTTCAATTATCATAATATGCTACACAATTATGACCTTGTGCCAGACTATGATTCCATTAATGCAATGACTTTAATCATCACTAAGCATCCTACACATGTATATTTATACTATACTAGACTGGGCTTAGTACATATCAATAAATAGATGGCAAGATGGAAAATTGTGTTCCTCCAGAAAAGAATGTCTTCAGATAAATTAACAGCTTTATTGATGGAATCAGTCTGCAATATAAAAAGAGAAAATGCAATAAATGTTGGCAACAGTTTCTATCAAAATGCTAAAAATACATCCAAATTTTAACAATTATTTTAGTATTTTTTTGTTCTTAATTATCAATATATTGTATTGAAATTAAACTGAAAACTATATTGAAATATCTGTCTATATTTCTGAGATGAGCTATTATTTACATTATTCGGACTATTGTCCTCATCTTTGTCGCCATGTTTATTACAACGTTTCGACCGTTGTACACTCCGGCCTTCTTCAGGTGGTTGGAATGTCAAACTGAACCCTTTATTTCGCTCACAGGGGTAGATTGTTCTAGTTCCCCGTGCTATGTTTAATGGATGTCAGTTACCAGTTATCTCCTGTTAATTTCCCTCTGAAAGTTCTCCACTGCCTTAACCAGGTATTGAACTCACACTCTTTGGGTCCTGTCACTGGATCTAACTAACACCTTTATCCATGTGTTCTTGAGGACATCTGTGTATGAATTTCTAGGTATTATAAACCTAATATCTTCAGCAATCATTTTTTACCATTGCTCATATTGCAATTTCGGCGGTTATCATTTTAATGTTTTTTTACCAGGGCTGATATTGCAATTTTTTGTTGTTATTATTGCTTTTCTCTGGCACTCCTTATTACTGGTTCCCATATTGTATTCATTTCTATGCTTTGTTAGCTCAGGAGATTTTTGTGGCCTAGCATATGTGCTGATTCCCTAAGTTTATGAATTTTCCAATGGTGTGCCTTGTCTATGATCTCAACATGATGCCACAGAGGGTAGTGATCTGCCTTCTCTCTCCATATGTGGTCAGACACACCTGATTTTTCCACTTCCCCTTGTGTTACAGCTTTCTGGTGTTGAAGCCTGACCTTAATAGGGGTGGCCTGTCTCCCTTTTATATTCCTTTCTGCAGCTACACGGGATAGCGTACACACAGTCTTTAGTCATGTTCTCCTCTATGGGGGGGGGTCTTACTCAAGAGAGATATCTGTGAAGTGTCATCAA